CGAGTACAGTAGCAAGATTGCTGCACTAGAGGAGGCCAAGAGAGTTAAGGAGGAGGAGGCTGAGTCATGGCACAGCAAGGTGAGTTTCCAACACACGATCAAAGGGATTCCTGGAAAATGTCAGAACACACAATTTCCTACTTGTCACCTTTTCAGTTGGTTGTTAGGGTTTTTTTTTTAATCACAGGACTCTTCATTATGTCACTTGTACAGTCTGGAATTTATTTATTTATATTGTGTGTTTTACCACCTATTAGAGGGAAAAAATAGCTAATTGGGGTGTATTTAATAGAGCAACTTTATTCACACATGTTTTTGTTGTAATGTAGTAATGTAGTTGGAAGCAGATGTAAATGTTTAATGTATTTGTTAACAACTCTAACACCCTGTGCATAAGTGCATGCTGGTGTATAAACCTATTGCCTTATAAATGGCAATATAGTAAAAGTTGTAATAAAATAAGTTAAATTAAAAAAATGTCTTCATAGGAGAAATTACAATTGCGGACAAATACAAATAATAAAAATGTTCTAATTGCTGCACACAACCACATTAGTGTGTTAGAAACCATTCATTAAAAGTCTATATATGGCTTATAAATGCTAAAAAATGGGAGTTAAAGGTGGAGTAGGCGGTTCTGGAGAAGTTCAATTCCATGTTTAATAGAGCGAACAAGCAGAGAGGACGAGACGGTCCCAGAGCCAGCACACCAGCTCCAGACAACTCTCCTGCTACTATAGCTAACATCACAACAACAACATGTCAAACTAGAAAGTAAGTTGAATGTCCGTAGGCAGGCAAGTGTGAAGATCAACAGATATTTCCAGGGACTTTGTATTTATTGTGCAGCTTATCATCCAGCTAATTAAAACGTGAATACTGACCAAACCATAAATAAAGGTTTGAGGCTCATCACATTCATTGTTTTCTAAATAGAAAGACCCTTTCATGACTTGTTGTATTGGAAGAAAAGAAAATCCATATCAAAATCCTTGGCACTCCCCTGTGCATTTCATATTTACACTTATGAAGTATGTACATTTTACTTTCTTATATATATATATTTACTACACATGCTACTAATTCATGTGACATAAAAGCTTAGAATCCTTTAATAAATTACCTAATTTGTTTATAGGAATAAATTACGTGGAAATGGCAAATGGCATGAGTGGAAAAGGCAAAGCTGCATCCAAGTTGTCATAAAACTGTTTTTCAAAAGTGAAATTAAGACCAGAGATCAGAGTCCAGCTCTGCTTGCTAGTTTACTTTGACCATAAACTGGCCACAGTCATACTGATGCCTAACAAATGCAAATACTTAGTATGTATGTTGACATCAGATGTTGTGTAGTGCTACAGCACGGTGAATGACCCTGATTACAACTTCACAACTTATTCTTCTATTTTGGGAACCCTTTTCTGGCCATGGACGACATAGGAAAATTAGATTTTTAGGCTAACTCTGGTTCAGTTACAGTTTTTTTACATGTTGACTAAACCTCTTCTCTTCGCCCCAGGCTAGGGAAGTGGAGGAGAGTCTGATAAGGACGAAGGAGGAGCTGCACACTGTGATGACCTGTAATTCAGTTCCTGCTGCTGCTCCTCCGGCTTCCTCCTCTTCGTCCTCTTCGGACAGCGAAAGCGACCACGAGCACAGTGAAGAGAACAGCACCTACAGCGCCGAGCTGCAGACGCAGGGCATCCACAACCACCACCAGGAGGAGGAGCGACTCACTGAGGCCGATAAGAATGAACGCCTGCAGAAACAGTTGAAGGTGAGTTCAGGGGCTTCAGTAAAGGATTTTGACAGTACTGCTTTAGCCCTATAATATGTTCATAGTCAACAACACTTCAGGTATTGTCACATATATACCTCTATGTTCTTATCTGAATACATAGCAGAATTTATATTACATGTGTTTGCATTGGATTTCATTTGATTTGGGGAATTTTGAAGTACATGATCAAAGAAAATGATAAAAAAAAAAAGTCTACGCAACAGCCCACCCCAACCAAAGAAAACATTTTTTTCCATATTCTCCCTAGGTGAAAGTTAAAATAACTATTTCAGTGCTGGTCAATTCCCAGTTTGGACCAAAAAGTGATTTTACCCATTATCATGATATATATATAAAATATATAAGATTGGCAGTCTTCACGACAGCTTATTCCACTTCCAAAAACATGTTCCCTTTACTATTCTCTGCTGCTCTCATGCTGTCTCCTCTCCTACTCTGCTCTCCTCTACATACACTACTTGTGTTTCCAGTTTGGTAACTTCGTGTTTTTTCAAGTATGTGGTTTGTAACGGCAGAAAATTGTTTTCTTCTTATACTTATAATCTTTTATTATTATGTCTTATATACTGTTTAATCTTTAACCTGCTCCTTTTATTATTATTCTCATCCTGCTAGTCTGTCCACATGTGTAGGGTTTAGTAGTAGATCAGTCTTGGTCTTAAGACCGCTTTTTGATGGTCTTGGTCTTGTCTCGGACTCGACCGCATTTGCACTCGGTCTCGGACATTGAGGACTTGGGATTTTAATTGGGTGTTTTAATGGGAATGTGGATCTTACAGATCAATTTGTGAAGTACCTATGATCTCGTTCCACATTTTATTGCGTGCCATGCAATGCAGGGAACTGGTCTTGGTCTTGACTCGGTCTTGGTCTCAGCCCCTGAAAGTCTTGGTCTTGTCTAGGTCTCGATAAACTCTGGTCTTGGTCTTGACTTGGTTTTGGCGGTCTTGACTACAACACTAGGGTTTAGGTCAGGGATGTGGAGTTGTTTTCTGTTCCTCTCCTGTTTTGGCTGGGACCAGTCAAAGCTGGTAGAGGATCTTTTGTTCCCCAAAACACAGATGCTCAGACTGTGTAAATGATCATGCAGCCCTTTGCTCTGGGCCAGACATTAGTGACTGTCTAGGAGACAGAACCTCTGGTCCAGCTGATGTGTTGTAGTACTTCTGTTTATTCTCTTTTGTTAAACAAATTCTTAAAAGACAATGGTTTGTTGTAACTCAATTATTTGCTCAACTTCTCACCAGGAATATAATTTCCACGACATGGTTAAATGTAGGAAAATCTACATAAAAACAGTTGTTTAGTAGCTTAATTTTTTTCACTTATCTAAATTTAAAAACACCAGGACAAAGAGAAGGAGTCTCCATCTGGTCTCAGCATTTGCACTGATAATCAACAATCATACAAAGACAAATTCATTATAGACCACCAGAATGTATTGTAACCACCAGACAGGTTGTGTTTTGATAACGCAAGCCTCACTTCTTAACTGCTAAACCTCACATGTGACCTACAGCTGAGTAAGAGCAGCTGTGCATGGCTGAGTATAAAATTACAGAGATTATTCAGAGAGAGTGTTTTATGAGTGCTATTCTGAGAAATTCATTCTGGGACATTTGAGCAAATCACTAACTGATGAAGTAGTTTAAGTAAATGATGGCACTCAAGATGTATCATAATGTAGTGAAAATCACATCACTTGGCAGAAATGCACTAATGTGAGAATATCCAAAAAAAAATCTTGCAAAGTGGCTACAGGATAAAAGCTCTGTGAGTGTCCTTGTGGTTAATAACCGGAGTTTTTTCCCTCCACAGGACCTGAGCTCAGAGCTGGAACAAGCCCGAGACGACAACAAGAAGACCCAGAACGATCTGCTCCACGCCGAGAACGTCCGAGCTGGCCGCGACAAGTACAAGACCCTGCGACAGATCCGTCAGGGCAACACCAAGCAGAGGGTGGATGAGTTTGAGGCCTTGTAGAAACCTCAAAGACCTGAAGATCTCTCCCAAGTACCTCCCTGAAGGACCTGATCAGCAATGGTTTCAATTTAAGTGTGATGTAATTGCAGCAACACCTTGTTTTAAAGACCCAGGAAAGCATGGAGCTGATCTGTGTAAAAGGACCTCCATGAGTTTTATTTAATCAGTTTAACTTTTGCTTTAAAGCACTGATGTGTTTCTATTATTTTTTTAATTTTTTGTTTTGTAGCACTCAAACATCTCCAATGTGCTGTTTTGTCCCAATAAACATTACAACATGGCATAAAGCTAGTGGTGTTCCTGATATACAGCATGAAAAAAGCTGGTATGTGAGGTGCTCTGTAGAAATGTTACCATAAATTATCCGAAAAGTTATTGCAATTTGGCTTGGCAGTTTTTGTTATTATACCAAACTGAAGTGGTTACATTTAAATGTATTTAACATAGACTATCTATAAGAAGTGGACGTAGTCATCTGATTTACTATTAAAGAGCCCATTCAGTATTTAGAGTGGCCAAAATTGAAGCCACAGAGCTTCAGCTACCGAGAATTTGTAGTCTCTAGTTTGGGTCAAACTCTAAAAGCACTGGTTCCTACATTTCCCATGATGCAACCCAATAGACCAGACCTCTCCTTTACATACCCAGGGCTTTCAAACCCCACACCTCCACTTCGTTAGGCAGACTTTCTGCTTTGAATACATTTGTAGTCTCAAACCAAGCCCAGGATAATCTTTTTTTTTTTCAACCTTTGGAAAGCTCCTTCTGAGCTAGATAAAAATATTATTGCTACAACTAGCCAATATGTTTAGCTTTACATTCAGGCAGGAGAGCAAATAAGGACAGTGATTACTCTCTGATATTAAACTTTTATGCAATATCTCAGAAATAGTAATGTCCTTTTCCATGACATGAAATAATAAAACTATACACAGTCATTCTTTTTCTTTTTATAATCATTATTTTTCCATGTGACAGTGTGACAAAAGTTCTGTTTGAAGAATCCTGTTGCCTGCTCACCCTGAAAAGGATGTGGGTTTTTAAATATTTACTTATGGGGAAAGGATAGTTATCATTAGGTTGCTAGACAACTTGTGAAGCCAGTAGAGCTCGTCTGTTTAAATAGCCATTAGGTAAACATTTCATCCGTGGATGAACACGTGAATCAAGCAGCTAGTCACTTGAAAACGTTAGGGACTACTTGTTGGAGGCTGAACCACCTCTGCTGCAGAAATGTGTCAGAGAAAAGACAAACTATTTATGTTGGCCTCAGGGTTGAAAGCTGCACACGCGCGCGCAACTCCGCGCGCAAAAGCTTCCGGAAAATTAAGCGCTTGATTTGATTATTCCAAGAAACCGCCTCTGACAGTCTGTGGGATTGCCCTGTGTTTCTTTTATGCAGAATCTAAATATAAATCGGTGACAAATAGTCCAAATACAGTAGCAACCCAACTGTGATGTGGGGGTGGTGCTGAGAGAACAGCTCCGTCTCCAAAGTTCCCCCCCCCTCCCCTCCTCTGTTGGATCCGGAATCCGCCAGGAGAAGGTCGCAGAGAGTCTCAGCTCCCACCTGCATTTGGATGATATTTTTTTTTGTCTTTATTATCATGAAGAGACAAAACGCCAGGACTCTCGCCCTCATCATCAGCATCCTCACCTACCTGGTGGTCGGAGCGGCCGTCTTCGAGACCCTGGAGTCCAAACAGGAGAAGAGTCACAAGAGGAAGCTCGATGCAAGGAAGTACGAACTCATGCGCAAATACAACTTGACCAAAGAGAACTTCGAGGAGCTGGAGCACGTCGTGTTACAGCTCAAACCTCACAAAGCAGGGGTCCAGTGGAAATTTGCTGGGTCCTTCTACTTCGCAATCACTGTGATTACGACAATAGGTGAGCAGCAGTTACTTCATTAACACATTAAAAGGGTGTATGTGAAACAGTTTCATTGAAAGATGCTGTGTTCGTGGCTGTAGCCAGGATTTAAGGAGGATCCCTTGCCCCATGTGCCACCAGGTGTTCTTTGACAGGTTTCTCAAAGTATTTACTTCTAACCATCTATACGAGAACTTATTCTGTTTGCTGCACGGTATAATTTTATTTACCAATTTCTCAAGCTGTGCCACTGTTTTCTAACCTAAACAACATGTCTCTTTGCTCAATTTGTACAAATTAAACCATATGTAAAGAGTTTTACTATCACTTATATTTGTCTACACCGATCAGCCATAACTTTATGACAGGTGGATTATCTCCTTATCATGGCACCTGTCAGTGGAAAGGTGTTCGACAGCAAGTGAACATTTTGTCCTTAAAGTTTATGAGTGTTAGAAGCAGGAAAATGGACAAGCCATACAAGGATTTGAGCAACTTTGACAAGGGCCAAACTGTGATGACTAGATGACTGAGTCAGAGCATCTCAGAGGTGGTCCAAGGAAGGAAAAGCTGTGAACCTTTGACAGGGTCACGGGCGGCCAAGGCCAGAGTTGATGCTGGTTTTGATAGAAGGGTCTCAGAACACACAGTTCATACACATGGGAGTCCATGCCTCAATGGGTCAGGGCTGTTTTGGCAGCAAAAGGGAGACCTACATTATGACAAGCAGGTGGTCATAATGTAATGGCTGATCGGTGTATATTAAAAATAAACATATTGTGGTTTAAATGAGGAATTAAATGAATAAAAAAGCCTTCTTAAAAAATTATGAAAGGTCATTTCCTTTACACCAGTGGTGGAAGAAGTGCTTAGATATGTGAGTAAAAGTGGCAATATAACCCTGAAAAGTTCAACTCTTATGTTCAAAACAAACTGAAAGAACCAAAAGTAAAAGTAGTCATTATGTGGAATGACCCATTTCAGAATACTATATATTAATGTATTATCATTTTTGTTGCAGTGATGTGTACATAACTTTAATTTTGCAGCTGGTAAGGATGGGGCTAATTTTATTTTAATTTATACACTGCTAGCTTGTGAATTTCCCCCCTTATTGTAAATTTATAATATTACATCATATTTTATTTGCTTGTTATATTTGTATAATTAATCTGAAAGTAACAGAAGTCATCAAATAAATGTAGTGGAATAAAAAGTACAATACTTGCCTCAAAAATGTAGTAGAGAAGCAGAAAATGGAAATACTTGAGTAAAGTACCTCAAAATTGTACTTAAGTACAGTACTCCCTCTTTGATAGATCGTCTTCTCTTTGTGTATATTCTATATTAATACGTATACTTTTTATACAAAATACACAATATCTGTTTTATGTTGCTTGTGTGTAACTCATTGTTTTTGATGGCGTTACCTATCAGGACACCTTTCAAAAAATACAATATACAATATTTATTGCTCACTGAGGCTTTCCAGGTGAAATAAAGTTGAATAAATTATTGAATAAAATACAATTTTGGTGGGAAAAAAACTAAACTCCTTCATTTCTTTTTGCTTGGAATACTGAGACATGAAATATGTCAGAATCAGCGTCAAAAACACCACCAGGTGTAATTTTTGTGTAATTATAAAATGGGAACACTTGCTCAAGTTGCTAAAACCCCCACATTACCGAAACAACATGTTTACACATGTCTTCTGTCCTGGCTCATCTGTCATTGTGATTAATTAGGTGGAGAAAGTGTTATTTTCAGTGTTTACAGCATCTCACCTGATAACAATGTCTGAGTTATAAATAAATGGCTGATATCTGTCATTTTGAGACAATCAGCATCGGCCAATAGCTGCACCATTACTGTGCAGTGTTATTGTGATTCTGCAGAGAATAATGCAGTGGAACGACGTCACTTCTGACAAACTGTCCTCCGCGCTCCCTTAAACACCAGTCATGTTCAACCTTTCCTTCTACATCATTAATTAATAAAATGTCCATCTAAAACAACATGTTAGTCGCTAAGATAACACTTATATTAGAATGTACTCTGCATGGAGTAATGGAATTATACATGACTTTTCTTTGTTTTGATATCAGCATTATATATCGACCATCGGCTGCCATACTTTCTAAATATTGGCATCTGCCATTGACAAAGCAGTCGACCACTAATGTGCACAATGTCTAAGGTGTAAAACATGTCATGTCTTCTTATTCAGGTTACGGCCATGCAGCGCCCAGCTCCGACTCAGGGAAAGTGTTCTGCATGTTCTACGCCCTCCTGGGGATCCCGCTCACCCTAGTCATGTTCCAAAGCCTGGGTGAGCGGATCAACACGTTCGTCAGGTACCTGCTGCACCAAGCCAAGAAGTGCCTGGGAATGCGTCAGACTGAGGTCTCCATGGCAAACATGGTGACGGTGGGCTTCTTCTCTTGCATGAGCACCCTGTGCGTGGGGGCTGTGGCATTCTCCCACTGTGAGGGATGGAGCTTCCTCCACGCCTTTTACTACTGTTTCATTACGCTCACCACTATCGGGTTTGGAGACTATGTGGCACTGCAGAGGGACGACGCCCTGCAGAATGACCCACGGTATGTGGCTTTCTGCTTTGTCTACATCCTGATGGGCCTGACGGTGATCGGAGCGTTCCTAAACCTGGTGGTGCTTCGCTTCTTGACCATGAACACTGAGGACGAGCGGAGGGACGCCAAACAGAGGGCCTTGATGTCTGTCAGTAAACCCAGAGGAGAGGTGGCTTGCCTAATACCAATATCAGCCTCAACCTCTTCCACACCTGTAGCAGACGGCACTACAAAGGCTAAAGAATTAAAAGGTGTCTACACTGAGGTGCTGCATTTTCAGACTATATGCTCCTGCTTGTGGTACCGGAGCAAGGAGAAGCTACAGGGCTCCATACCCACTATGATGCCTCAAGAGCTGACGTTCTCTGATCCCTACTTGCAGCAGAACAGTAACTGCCCTCACTACATGGAGCCTGGTTCGACAGGCTGCGTTTGCAGTCCACGTCAGTGTTCGAGCATAAGCTCCATAACAACGGGCCTACACATTCTCTCTCCGTTCAGGGTGTTTAAGAGACGCAGCTCCGTCTAGCCTTTCAATACAGCAGATTTCAGTACAGCACAATGCATCTATGCTGCCACGTGGACAACAGATACTTGGCAGTCCTCACAGAAAAGACATGACTGCAAGTAGATGTTTGTGGTGCTATAATCACAGTAAACCAACAGTAGGGCACACAAAAGGGAAAAGTACTATAAAAAGCAAAGTCTTACTCAAATATGTATTTGAGAAAGCACAGCATGCAATGTTTTGACTTGAGGTCTTATCCTGTGCAGGAAGTCATCTGGGTCCCTATACTTGAACACATGAACACGCTGCAGTACATGTGGTGTACAGTGTACACAGTGCTGGTGCTGCAGAAGGAAAGGAGGTTCAGGTCGAGTCAATTGAGCAATGGCACAATAAAATAACTGAAACCTCTTAGACAACAGCTCTGCAGTAAATTCCAGTTTTGTGTTGTTTATATTTTTTGTGTTTATCAATAATCTCAGAGGTGCTGATTCAGCTCAGGGGGGTATGTCTTAAACTTGTTGTTTGTAGTGTTGTTTTCCTGTGTTAGGAGTTTATCTTGACGATTTTGTTAGACATTTCCCATCCTATTATCTGTGACTGATGCAGCACCAATTGAGACAACTTTCGGGCCTCATATAGGTTGCCTTGTGTTGCCCTAAAAACATATCCAAACAAATCGTGATTGTCAGAATTTTATTAAAGCTGGCACACACTGATGACTCGATATGACTCATTCCCTGTGTAGCTGCGTCTGTTGTTGTGATTTTCCGTGCTCTCTGCTCAAATTGCTGGTGCATCAGTCACAAACCCTGCAAAATTATGTAACGTCGCAAGTGGAGAAGTTCAAAAAATCACGATGACATATCCCAAACACTGTAAAACTGCATTAGGAAAGAAGTACAGTAATCTCAAGTAGATACTCACCAACACTGACTGAAACACACTTCACTGGATTTGTTTAACAACACTACAACGCACTGTGTTAAAAATGACCATTGGGTTAGGGGTCAACAACTCTGACATTCTCATCAATAACTGAACATGATTTGCTTTACCAGCCTGGTATTCACTGCAGGGTTACTGTATTGTAAGGTGTTTCCGTTACTTTGTCCACCCCTGTTGCTGATGTTTGGTTTCATTTGTTTGGCACTGCTGGGTCCAGAAGTCAGTCCAGAGCAGCTGCTGGTCTGCTTCATGGTATTTACAATGTGATGCTTCAGGAACCAGAGAAGGTACACACCAAGGTACTTGTGAAGTACAATTGTTGCACTATGAAACGAATAATTCAGATCAGATTAGATGAGAAGAGCAATACCACTGCCAAGTCTGAACGCTAAATATGACTTAAACAAGAAGATTGATACTACTCTGACTTCGTATGATAAATATGTAACTTGTGAGCTTGTTACCTGGAGCCAGCTAGCACCTAGTCTGGCTTTAACATGTTATGTCTTGTGTAAAAATGACAAAGGTTTAACACACTTTCATAGGTTTAAGATGAGATTCAGTTCACTTGTGAGCATAAGAGAAGCTGGGAGGCAGATGTTTTAACTTTGGATGGAGCCAAGCTATTTGTTTCGCCCTGCTTCCAGTCTTTATGCTAAGCTAGGCTAACCCAGCTTCCTGACTCCAGCTCCATAATTAACACACAGACATAAGAGAGCTATCAGTATTTTAATCTAACTCGGCAAGAAAACAAACGTTAGAATTATATAATTATCATTTTAAAGCTAACTGTCAATGATCATGATTATCTATCAAAGTACATGTTTGCTATGTGAATGTACTATATTTCTCTCCACTCTGCTCTTCTGACCTGAAGGACCATGAGGTTTCATTGAAGTCACTTCAGCTATTCACATATAAAGTGCGCAGAGCCGTCCAAATCACGTCTGGATCAATCTGTAGATGCAAACTATTTTTAACAGCAGTTTGGAGTGGCAGATGGGAGGGGGTTTCTGTGTTTGTACAATGGATAATAAGCTAGTTGTCAATCACAGACAAGAATGCCACAAGAGACTTAGTCTCTCTGATTGATGGAAAAGGAGAAAAAAATCCACCCTCAGATACTATTCCTTGTATTTCTGGGCCTATTTTAGGATTTAGTGGTGTATTTTTTTCTGTAGGAGACATGATGTGACGTCACTTTAAGTTTATTTCTGGCAGCTGCAAATGAGTTTTGGGGATTTGATATATTTTTAATCTACAATTCAAAAATCATACGGTGAGACATCCATCATAGATGATGCAGAGAAACACCAGCAGTAGCCTTTTGTAGATCACACAAGTCTCACATTTTCTTCACTGGAAAACCTTTCACTATGTTATCACTTTGTCCACCACTTGCAACCAACAGTTAGGGACAGCAATCTTTTTACCTGTTCGCTTGGGTTGGTGAAAGGCATTATTGGAAATGTAGGAAATATCACTCTTGAAATAAATCAAACATCACAGATCGGTGATATTCTGAATATCTCAAGGTGCATTTTTTTACTTTTTACTTTTTACTTTCTGGCATATATTGTTTTGCCTTGTTGGGTGAAAATACCACCCATGCAACACACAATGGACGTAAAAATGAGTACCCAAAATTGCTTGCAAATACTATATTGATCCAGGTGGGTGTCTTTTGAGAAACTGGTCTTATCTAGGTTAGGGAAATGGACTTTTTGTGATGGACTGTAACGTACAGAAATGCATAAGTACTATTTGCCCATGATAATGAAAGAAAAGGGATGTTTATGACGCTTCCTGCTTTTGACTTGCTTTTAACATTAAGTGACACAGAAAACAGCCTTCTGTATATTTAATGCAAGTACTGTATTAGCTTTAAAATAGCACTACATCATGTTACACTAGCATAAACAGGCTGTTCTGTTTTTTGCTTGGAAAATAAAATGTTTTTTTAAAAAGATGACTGGGAGCAAGTAGTACTTGAACACACAACTAGTACTTGAAATAATTGTAAGAACATTATTTATCTTGCCAAGGGGTGTGTGTACAGTTGAGACTATTACAAGATAAATCATGCACATCACATCTAGTTAAAAACAATGTTGTACAATTTTAAGTATAGAAAAGAACATCCACAGAAAACATTAAAAACATGGATATTTTATCCAAAAACTCCAAAAGCTTTTGAGTTTTACTGTTGTTTCACTGACTGTCCTGATAATTAGATAACAACCTTAAATTAATTATAATTTACAGAGAAATTTTACAACATAAATTTCTGTATACAGTACACTGCTAAGTACTGCTAAGTAAGTACTAAGATGTAGTCGTGAGATCTCCATCTCCATGCTGTTTCTCAACATGTTATGTGTGAGAAAAGCCTGCTGAATGTATAGAAATGAATGTTTGGTCCAGATGGTTTCCCCCTGGGAATTCTGACTGAAGTCCAGTTCCGGACAACCTACAGCATTTTAGTCACGAGCAGAAAGTATGGTGTTGTATCATTGTGTCATCATTTGTGGCAGTATGTATATTTGTTTTATCCAACTCATCATCATGTAGTACAGCAAACAGTGGGTAGACAAAATAACAGAAACACTTCAAATTAAAGCAGTAAATACTGTTGTGGAAAATGTTTTAATGTTGTGTTTTTAATTAGGCCACCAGAGTGCCCCTAACATTTGGTTTTATTGAAATTACCAGAGGCGTTGATTCAATTAATTTATTTGGTCCAAATATCCAAATCATGTCCTAAACAATTTCAATACTTTTCCTGGAAAAAACTATTTTGTTCTAATTATAGACTAAATGCAAAGTGCTACCCTTCCACTTAATTAATTTCAATTCATTTTCTAGTGTAACCTAAAGCATTTTAGTCATTGCACAGATAAACATGCATAAATGTTACATTTGTCTACCAGTAAACATACAGTTAAAGATAAATTAAGTATAAACATTTACAATATTTAAATACATAATGAATCAAGATTTACTTGGGTTTAAATTTGAGCTTTTCTCACAAGAATTTTTTTTTCTCCATAACTGTACCATATTAAAAAGTACTTTCCATGAAACTTTCTATGAACCCATAAAATACTGTATTGTTTGTATATGTATATGTCTTCTATGCTTTACAATGGATTTACATGTTCTTGAATACCAATTAGCAATATGTGTGGGCTTTGTTTAAATGAGGTCTTAAATCACCGCAGTTTTTATGAGTGAGTTTCAGAGGTCCGAAGACCACGGCCCGTATTTATCAGAATTACTCATAAGAACACTGCTAAGAACTGACTTCAGAGTAAAAAAAATCTTGGCTCAAAGATGTGCTTAAAAGTAAGTTATCAAGCATCTTAAGAGTCAGTCTTGATTCACGACACTGTGCCGCAAACAGGAATTTTGGATGACGACATAGGCAAGGACCAATCACTGAATAGATTTCCCTATTCAAGAAGACAAATTCACTTTCAATGGTGAAATTCCTAAGAGGAGTGCATTCAACACACATTTGACAATAAAGAATTTTTCAAGAGAATAATTATCTCTTGTCTCCTATTAGGTGTCACCCGATGGCACAAAGTTCCTTTCAAACAGCTGCTTCAGGTCACTTTTATTCAATATCTGCACGTCAAGGGCAGACCCATGCCAAACTACAACATTTTGGAAGGTACCACATCCAAAAGTCAGCATCAACACACAAGCTGTGTTGATACTGTGGTACCTCTTCCTGTTCACATAAACATTCTACTTTACACTGGGAGCAATCATCTTTTTATGAGTGCCATCATCAACTCCTGGGAACGCCGGCTATTGCACGAATTGTGTTTGCTTCCGTTGGATTATGCGGGGTGTTCTTGGGAAGTCGATGAAATGCATGGTTGGTTGATTTCTGTGCACTTGTGTTTATGCGTCTATGTGGAGTCTGTTGCTTTCTGTGGAATAACTTCACCAACTAGTTATTAAAGACCAGCTAGTCTTCCAGTCCAGAAGAATAAAATACTGTATGCAGACGTTATGCTCCATATCAGGGGTTCCCAAGCATTTTGAAACCACTGCTCTATATGGCGCTGATATGAACGCAGTTTATCAATGACGCAGGGAAGAGCATCAATAAAGTCAATGATGAGCCCAAGATCAGGAAATAAAAAAATAAAAAATCTAGTCTTATGAAGCTATAAATGCATAAAAACATACATCAAATTGTTGTGTGTACCAAGAATAGAATTATAAAATAAAAGTCTCAGTTGCTGAGAATAGAGCAATTAGCACTGTATCTCGTTATCAAAATGTGCCTGCAACATCAAACCAGCTTGTAAATGCTGGCCTTGTGCCTGTGAATCTGCCATCAGCCATTAGATGTGCACAGAAAAGCAACAGAAGGAGTATCCATTTGACAAATCCCTGTATTGACCCCCTGTGGCTGGAGCATCTGCTGTTTTCTACTTTGGCCATAGACCTGAGTATCTATGTCAAAGACAAAAATAGTTCCACTGAGAAGGTCAACTATGGCATTACGTCACTTGGTTTCTTCTCTGTTTTTTGAAAAATGGGCAGGTTAAAACTGAAGGTGTCTGTCACATATTTGTGTACTTACAAGTGTACTTGTGTATTTGTTTTGTGTACAGAGAATTTACATGTTTTATCCTTTCAACATCTATATTTGATAGATTTGACTAAATTATGAAAATTTTAGTTTTCCATCTAGACAGGTAGAAATAAAGGCCAGAGCAGTAAGACTTTCATTCATCACATCTATATTTAAAGTTTTACAGTCTTACAGTCTTCATCAGCCATGCTAGGTTTTAGCACGTAAGCATACACACATACAAGTTAAACCTTTGACCAGATGATGGCACTAGATTTCTTTAAGCGATTTAACTGTAACACAGGCACTTGCAAAGGTTAATAGTTCAGTGTGTAACTTTTAGTGTCATCTAGTGTTTTTTCTTGTAAATTGCAACCTATGGCTCAGTCACCATTCACCCCTTCCTTTGCAAGGGTGTAGGAGAAGCTACGGTGGCCGACACGCGCTGTTGGCTCTTATGCTAAATAATACATTTAGTCTTCCATTTGTCCAAATTTCACTTCTCTTCTTACTTCCGATAAACCAGACAACTACAACTACTACTTCATCTTCTTGTTGTTTCCACATATTCAACGTAGTGACAAAAAAAAAATATCACATTTTCAAATTTCACATTTTTAAAAAAAGGACATTGAGGAAGCATGGGTGTGTATCTTATAATACATATTATCTTATAAGATGATAGATGATGCAAATTCCTCTAAATTATGTCACTTCGGGAATGTATCATTATTTTACAAGGGTTTTTTGGTGAGAGTACTGAAATCAGGGGACAAAGATAAATTGATGTATATGTTTTTTTAAATAATATATATTTAGCCTATACCAAAAACACAGTTTAACAATAACATTGTACTTCAAACCATATTTAAATGTGAAAATTGTAACATTTTGCCTACATTTACAATTAGAATATATAATTTATATTTTACAATTAGAAACCCTGTTGAAATAGAACAATCATAGCGAGGGAAAGGCCTTTTAATTGTTTAAAATAAGTTTTAATTGGATTTAATTTGCTGTTATACTGAAGAAAGAAGACATAGTAAGGCTATATTTTAAAATAATAATATTTGTTTGTTGTTATAGTAATTTAATGAATATTTCTTGGGGACACAAAAAACACAGATTCCACGGAATGACCCTTATAATAGACTACATGTATCTAGTATGTATTATACAGTATAATACATGTAAGTTGTATGTATTATATATTATGAGGGGGATCCAGAGGTATACCAACTGCCTTAAATCCTCAAAGTAGCCTAACGTTAGAAGAAAAACAGCTCAGTTTGGTTAGTTCAGTTATCATAGCCTGAGTTTAGCTGACCTTTTGTATGGGCTCACAACATTAGTTTCATATTTTGTAAATTGTTTCTTTAATTTTGGGTGGTGAAGAATAATAATAAAAAAAACAATCCGGTTTGAAAAGCAGTCTATCAAACCATGAAGCCCCGGGCCGAGTTGCTGTTGATCGACCGTCATTGAACGTTACAAAAGGAGCTTCCTGTGAAGTTCAATGTCCAAGAAAGTCGATTCTGTTCCAAAATGGACCTGTGGCAGCTGGCTGCAGACGCGCTGGCCCACAATAAGAAAGCCGCTCTTCTGATCGGCGGGGCTGGCGTTGCCGTTTTGGGACTAGGTCTTGGTTATAAATACCTGCGAAAGCCAGAAAAAGTTGTTCGTGTAGGCGTAGTGTCGCAGCTTTTCATTCACCCTCTCAAGTCTGGCAAAGCGCTGTCTTTGGCTCTCGCAGAATGCCAGAAATTCGGCTTTAAGTTTGGAGATCTGCAGGATCGGTAAGTGTTGAGCACAAAAGAATAAAGTTTGCCTCGTTCAGAGCGCGAGTGATCACTTTTAAGATGTTTCCTGACCCGTTCAGACAAAAACAATCGATGCAACTACAGTCAATGGTCACACAATCTTGAATTACTAACACTGGTTATTATTGAGCACACCTTCCACCTTCCTTACAGTTTTCGTTAGGTTTCTTAACTTGAATATTTTAAATTTGTGCTACTTTATGCTGCTATTGTTGGTACTTCTTACTCCAAAACATAGATTTTGCAGCTATTTGATTTTACATACAAACCATGTGATCAACTTGTAAAATATGATGCATAATTGTAAATTGAAGGCCTCCATACACACACAGGTGTTTGTTGTGGCTTGTTAGACCTGAGGGGAGGTCTAATCAGGCAAATAAAGGTTATAACAAAGTCAGAATTATCCTCCACCTTAACTGTTATCTTAAAATGCAAATGTAGCTTAAAATAGCCTATTTGAGATAGAGCCCCAGATGATAACATATTTAGCAGAAAGGCTACATAATTTAACACTCTAAAATGGATCATTCTGCTTAATTTATATTTTTACTGTTGAATCTTTAAGTTTGCTAATTATTTTTAATTACCAAAGCCTTTCTGGGAGTCTTGACAAATGCAGGACTACTTAAGTAAAGAATCTGAATAATTATTCCAGCACTATTATTTCTGCCATGAAAATAAAAAAGACGAAATATAAGGAATTACAAAATAAAAATACTGATGTTAGGTCAAATATTAAGTGACAAAATGATGAGATACTGCATCTAATCTCATCATTTTGAACTAAAGCATACATTTGTGTTTAAATGGTTATATTTTCTCATAAGTGAGACTCTGTATCATACATAGTTGAAAAATAAGCAGACACATTTACAACTGTGTTTGCTTTGAGTGCACATTGTCTAGTGGGTTAAGAGCCATTTTGCTTCCCTCTAGGTGTTCATCTAGTTTATTTCACTCAGGGACACAAAATTGCACAAATAAAAGCAATTTCCTTTTGCTTAGATTAAACTCACTGGCTTAATCTGGGTTTCTTCACTGTGGCTCAATATTAAGCTTATTTATATACTTTTTGGAGGCTTTCATGAAGACTTGAAGCGGGTTTATGATCTTGCATGCTTTTTAGAGGAAATTTCCGTTTTAATAATTCAATTGTCCAAACACTGATAACACAGATATACAGGAGGGGGAAATGGCAGGACTTCATAAATTTTTTTTTTTTTTACAGAAATGTGTTGTCTATGATTCCAACGGTAGATACATTTCTAACCAGTGAATAAAAATAAGTTGTTATATCTGGGATTTATCAATGAGTAGTAGTAGTACCCATTTCAACATGTGTCATTAATCCTGTCTTTGTCTTTGCTTCAAATCTGTGAGAGCTCAGTGTGCAGGTTTGGTGCCTGGACATTGGAATTAAACCAGGATGGCAAATGGCGCAGATGATGGAAAAAACACGGTTCTGTTTGTTTTGATTGCAGGCACTGGATGGTGGTCACAGAAGACGGTCACATGGTTACAGGCAGACAGGAGCCTCGTTTGGTGTTGGTGTCTCTGACATGCGAGGGAGGTCATGTTTGTCTGAACGGCCCAGACATGGAGGAGCTGCGATTCCCCTTCAGACAGACTGACAAACCCGTCATCGACTGCAGGTTTTACATCAGATTTTAATTTTGGCAGCACAATTTGCTCTTTTGCGCTTAGATCTGCTAATTTTGGCATTTCGTTAATTTGATTTTTGTCTGCATTTTCAAGTTTTGTTTCAATTCTGTTTATAGACTTCTTGTTGTTTCTGTGTTGCAGAGTGTTTGGAGCTGACATTCAGGGACGGGATTGTGGCGACGAAGCATCGCGCTGGCTCACTCGTTATTTGGGGGCTGAGAAAACCTTTCGCTTGGTGCACTTTGAACCCCAGATGAAGGCTAGGAGGCCGGCAGAGAGCGAGCCTCTTTTCCCAAAATATGAGGTAAATTGCCCAGATTTTATGGCTTCATCTGTTTACCTCCACTTAAGACAAATAATTTTATTTTTAAAATCAAAACCAGGTTTGTCTTTTTTGGTTAACTTTTAGCTATTCAGTGTCAAATTAGTGCAAGAAACAACTTGTTATATAGAGAAAGACAGGATTAGTGATTGTATTGGTGGTGGTTAACCATTTATCCAGCAGGTGGCCTACCCAGATTATGGACCTGTGATGCTGCTGTCCGAGTCCTCTGTCAAGGATCTCAGCAGCAAGTTAGAGAAGGATGTCACGGCGGAGCGCTTCCGCCCAAACATTGTCATAAGTGACTGTGAAGCATTCGATGAGGTGTGTTTTTTTTTTTCTGGTTTTCTTTTCCCTGTTGATTCCTCTGTTTGGCTACAAGATTAAAAACATAAACAAAGAAGTATATATCAGGCAGCCATGTAAAGATTAGATTTGATCAACAAAAGGCCTTAGAAATAAGAGATCTTAGGATGTGTCTCTACGCTACAGCCCTTGAGGTTTTCATTTTCCATCCTGTTTGGAAAAATGATCATTTGGTACTTTTCTTCTGACTAATACCTCGCCCTTTTCAGCGTGAGCAGCGTGGACTAATTTTATCCCCAACTGAAAAAACCAACTGCTTTGGCTTTTCAGGATACATGGGAAGAGATCCAGATTGGCAGCGTGAGACTGCAGCGTGTAATGTCATGTGGACGGTAACACACTAGATTCTTCACACAGATTTTAATCAGAGACAGAATCACTTCATTTATAAACAACAGTAAATACGAAGCTGCAGTGCTGGGGTTGGGGGGTTCATTCCCTGGATACACATTAAATTTGCCACTGATTGTGCATTTCTGTGTCTATTTGATGTTCAAATGCATCGGTTTGTCTTCCTAAACAGGGTGGATGCAAACTCACCTGTAACTTTTGTTGTTTCCAGATGTATTTTTACCACAGTTGACCCTGAAACGGGTATTATCACCCGAAAAGAGCCTCTGGAAACACTGAAAAGGTAAAGTTTGAAACAAGAAGTTTGAGATTGACAGGGGACTAAATTCAGAAAGCTCAGCCGCTTATAACACAACAGAGTGATGACCAACAAAGTCCTTTCAGTTCAACTGAACTAGGCTGAAAGTTTTTTTTTTTTTTCTTTAAATTACATTCAGCTTGAAAGTCATAGCTCAGTAGTAAAAGCTTCTTACAAGGCTTGAATATCTTCATATAAGTGAAGACATGTAGCTTCTGTACTCCACCAATTTACCCTTACTAACATTGTCTGTCTCATGATGGACGGCTGGGGAAAAAAGTACTGAAGCAGCAGATTTTTTTTCTCCCTTTAGTCTTCTTTCTTGTCAGAAACTGGCGCCTACATTACCCACAATGCCACTCAACTACTGACAGTTCTGTCAGAGATTCAGATTTGTCAATGGGTGTGGGTGTGTTATGTTAGTAGCGGATAATGTAGCCTCAAGCAGAGATACCTCCACACCTACAGGTTTTTCTTTTCTTTTTTTAAACTTGTTGTCTTAGACCCGAACCAACAATGACTCAATTAGAGCTGCATCTGGAACCACAAAGGACTTTATGCAGCTTTTGTTCTCATTGCTGTAGTATTCCCCAAGACCTAAAAACAGACTTTAATGTGTAAGATCGGTGGAGTTCCCCTTTAATGTAACAGTATCTAAGAGACTTGATGGAGATCATTTTATAAGAACCGTGATTTTGGATTTACCTAAATGTATATAGCTTATTATTCTTCTTGCACTCGTATTCAGCCAAAGGACATATCAAACCAAAACAGCTTGTGTGTTATTTTAAGAAAATATCACCATCAGCAGCATCCAACTTCTGTCTAAAAAAAGACTAATTATTTCTTGCATGCAAATGTTGGATAGACAAAAAACCCTCTCCAATTCAAAGATAAAAATTAGGCTACTTTTATGACAATTAGGCATATTAAATGCTTTTTAATGTCAGTAAAATCTGGCAACCCTGGTGTTAATAAGAGTTAGTGTGATTTTTTTTTTTACAGATTCATTTGTAGCTTCATTGAGTTATGTGTTATTTTGATGTATCTGATAAATGTTGGTGTGTTTTTCTAATTTATCTATAACTAATAACAGTTTACATTCGGGGGGTTTTTGTGGTTAATATAAATGTGATTTCTATCATGTCATAGATGAAAAGTTTCATTTTAAGAACTGGAAAAATTTTCACAGCTATCGTCTGTGCAAACCATCTGAGAAGCACATCTACAAAGCGTCTCCGTTGTTTGGACAGCTGCACACTGTGAAGAAGCCGGGAATCCTGCAGGTTGGCGATGTGGTGTACAAGATCAGCCGCTGAATGAGGGAGTCAGAGAAGGAAGAACATGCCGACAAACATATGGTCATTTTTTTTTCTAAAGGAGGAAGAATTCTTTGTTATCAGCAGTGTCACTTTATAATCACTGAACTTAAATAGATATAGTGCTACACATGAATAATAAAGGTATAGTACACTAAAATGTATTATTATTGATTGAAGATAACATGAAAATAATAAAAATGCAAGTAATCAACAGTTTTTTTTATTGTGGTGGATTGTATAAATTCTATGTCAGATGGGTTGTTAAACAATAATTGTGCTTGTATTAAAAAGAATTCCAAGCAACTGCACATTGAGTTCACCCGATAATTAAATTCTGAAAGTACATGCTGCTATTAAAGAGAGAAATGAAAACTGCATAATGTCTTTTTTATATAATACTATAATAATTATTCCTGGAGTAAATGACGCAGAGACACTCTGCTGGGAACAACAGTCTCTGGTGTTAAAACATTTGAGACAAATAAACTTTACTTCCATCTACTACTTTTAACATTTTAGTGTTATTCACATCAAGGCATGTTTTCCTTAATATTTCAAATAAGAAAAAGCCTCATTTGAAATGGATTGGTAGCACTGAATGACAATCAAAAAGACTAAATGAAATTCTATATTATTAGATCATGTAACAACAATGAAAAATTTGGCATTTTGGGAATTAATGGATTGTACTTGAAATTCATGTTGTGAATTTTTAAAACCAATACTCTGCATCACCTGTCATGGTAAATATTTTCCAGCCTCCCTGTTTGTCATGTACTTGACGCTTTTAGTAAAACCTACAACCATCGACACTTGAACAGGACAAAAGCTGAAGCATCTGATGGAAACTAAGATGAAACTTGTGACTTTTCAGTTAATCTGCACTCTGTGCTTCCCTGTCGTCATCTTAGACCAGTAAGTGAATAAGGAATTATTCCTAGTAACTTAAACATTTCTTAGAGCGTCATGAGTGTGAACATCTTAAATATTGGAGGTCCAGTGAGACCCAGTTTTAGTTACATACAGGAGGAAGAAGATATTTCTGGATATTCCTATATAAATTTACCCTATATTGCTACTGATGTAAAAGATTTCCGTTAATTTCAGCTTTTAAATGAGATTTAAACAACCAATAGATCTGTGCATTGCAGCACTGACAGTAGCTTGAATTGTTAACTAAAAGTGGAAATTGTATACATTGCTGCCCATGTCCTTGAACTGACAACAATTCTCTACAGTACAAAAACACTCCTTTACCTCTGCTTAAAAAACAGTATCTTTTTTCTTTATCTTGTGAAAAATAATTTTTTTTCAGTGATGTATGAACATGATTCATTCAAATGTGACTTCAATCAGTTATTGTTATGCGACCGCATGTATTTCTCAGTTCATTAATATTCTTTTTGGGGTTTTCCTGTGTGGACCATAATCCCTTTTACTCCTCAATCAAAACAGACCCAAACAGTCAGTCACAGATCATAATTTCTTTACTGAGAGTAACGTATGTATTAGAGGTCTTCACTAGTGTTGAGCTTAAGGCAAGAGCACTCTGATTTTTTACTGAACAAAATTATAAATGCAACACTTGTTTTTGCATTTCAGAGTGGCCTTTTATTGTGGCCAGCCTAAGGCACACCTGTGCAATGCCTATGCTGTCTGATCAGCATCTTGATATGCTATATACAGCTGTGAGGTGGAAGAATTATCTCGGCAAAGGAGAAGTGCTCACTAACACAGATTGTGACAAATTTGTGAACAATATTTGAGAGAAATAGGCCTTTTGTGTACATAGAGAAAGCCTTAGATCTTTGAGTTCAGCTCAAGATCTCATTCAGCTAATAATAAATATATGTGCTAATAATAGTCAGTGGTCATGATAGAATATGTTTTTATTATAGAACGGGCTGAAGGCTATGTAGGCATGTTAGCTGCTCTGTGAAGCTGTACTCACTGTAGGCACAGTGGTGTTGTGAGCTAAATGCTAAAGTTAGCATGCTAACATGCTCACAGTGACAATGCTAACATGCAGGTAGAGGTATAATGCTCACCTTGTTCACCATCTTAGTTTGGAGTGTTAGCATGCTAATCTTTGCTATAATTGGCAGTAAACCAAAAGCACAGATGAGGTTGATGGAATGTCATTCGTTTTGCAGGAATTTGGTCATAAACCAAAGTATTGGACAATTAAAAATGTTTACCTGACATCCTCTAAATCAGTGGTTTTCAAAGTGGGGTCCTAGAGAGGGTTCCAGGGGTCCCAGCAAAAGGGAATCATTTATTTTCACTATAATTTCATCCATTAGTAACACAATGACAGAATGTATGAATATGTTGGTCATGAGTTTCATCCTATCAGATGGTCGATCCTGGAACAAAATCTTATCAAATTGGGGTCCGTGGTCTAATTTGTGTCAGTTAAGGGGTCCTTCATGTGAAAAAGTTTGAGAACCACTGCTCTAAATGAAAAGTCTGTGTCGAAAAGTTATTGGCTTATCAAAAACTCTGTTTTGACAAGAGAAAAAGAGCTAAAGCAACACAGTTATTTATTCTGGTGTTATGAAGGCTTACTTTAGTTATCATAATTCTGTATTGAGTGCACAGAACATAGCCCACTGGGTCTTTACCAGACTACATGTCTTTAGGCTGCAAGAGAAAACCAGTGCACCACTAAACAGTGTGCAATTTCCATGTGAATTTAAACAATTGTTTTTTGTCAATGAACTATTCTGTTGCTGCGATGCAACGTAGATTCAGTGGATTCATCAATTTGCTCAAAGGCACTGCAGAAGAGTTGGTACCTCTGCCATGGACACAGGCAGCTGGATGCTGTGTGTATGATCTCTATCTCGAGCTGAAATGTACCTAACATTCAAATTTATTCATTTATTTCACTTACATGTACTTACATGTCAGCTTTAGTGCAAGGAATTTTAACAAAAATGACAAAGCACTGAAATGTACAATCATGCCTTTTCAAAGAAGGGAACACCCATCATGTTGTGTCTGATGTGACAGCAAAGTCCCTGGTTAGCTGAAAAGTGCTCCTCCAGCAAAACCCCCAAGGTAATAACAAATAGAGCTAATGGGAGCCGTTGCACAGGAAAAGAGCCACTTAGAAACGTTTGTCTGACGTCTTCACTGTCCTTAAATGGCCACCTCAGAGGAAACATTTTTTTTGTAAAAGGTCCAAGAAGCCATGTCTGTATTTTCTAAATTGGTGACATTTTAGCACATGTAGTTATGGAGGTCTGTAATTTGTAAGGGTCCTGGTTGCAAAGAACCTCAACATACACTACACCATATAGAAAACATATGGTAGACATTAAATCTGAGAGCAGCCCTTTATATTTTCAGACCCACAAATCTAGACCCTCCATCACTTTCTAATCAGTATAATGTACGTTTCCTACTGCATTTGCAGGCGGTGAGGTGCTAGAATAGTGAGTGATTATAAGTATAGGGTTCTATAAAATTTCCAGACTAGCACTGCTTTAGTTGTCCAGAGGAGTATAAATGAAGAAATAATATACTTTTATTTTGTACTGCTTTGTATTTGCAACCAGGCTTTACTAAAGTCTTACAAACATCTTAACACATAAGTTGTCTGGACAGAGTGAAGAATAAAATGTGACTGTGAAAGAGCTGATGATAATACAAGGATATGAGGATTTGTCAAGGGAACATATATTGTCTATGTATGTGACTGCTGTTGTCCTTTATATTACTATATTTTATAGCAGCATATTCCTTGCATGCTTCATTGAGGGTTTATAGTTAGTATACTTATGGTATGTCATAAAATACGTGGTTAATGTCATCTCCTGTCAAGTCAAGTTTTTGTCATGTCATTGCATGATATATTAATGTCATGTTATATCACGTTGTAAGTAATAACATGACGTGTGCTATTGTTTGTATTGTATGTTAACTGTGTCATGTCTACATAACACATAGCTATTATCATGGCAAAAGTTATATTGTACCTTAAAAGATACTGTATGTCATGCTACAGAATATTGTGTCATGTCATGGTAAAGGATGTTATGTCATGTCACACTATGGTATGTTTATTATGTCATCTTATGATTTAAAAAAGCGGGATGAATTGTGAGATTCATGTAACCACTTTTGCACGTTGCAGTCTGGACGGCTTTACATTTACAGCAGTCATTATGCAAGCCACGGACACAGCGGTTTCAATTATGATCAGTGGTGTGGAGTTTAATTACAGAGAGCGTCTGAGAGACTCACACACAGACACGTTCTACTGTTTATTTTTACCGCTTGCATGTGTTATAAAATTAAAGCAATTTAACAACATTTGGCTTTGGTACAGCTAGAAGTTTTTTTTTATCTGTTTGCTGCTTATTTCTACATCAAACGTATTTGATATGTTTTATATCCAGACACAGTGGTGATTAAGCTGGACCAATGATTTTTATGACAGTCAAAAATAAAATGTAAAGGAAACAGTGTCATTACATGCATAATAAACAGTTGTGTGCTTTGTACATTAAAAGAATAGTTAAACATTTTAGGAAATAGGCTTATTCATTATCTTGCCAGGTATTAGATGAGAAGATTAGTACCGCTCTATATTGTAAATACGAAGCTTCCACCATCAACCAGTTAGCTTAGCTTAGCACAAAGCCTAGAAATAGGGCAGCTAGCCTGGCTCTGGATTAAACAAACAAGAAATAACTTGTTAAACACTGAGCTTTAAAGGTCCTTGAAGGCAGATTTTGTTCACTTTGGACAGTGTCAGACTAGCTTTTTTAACGTTTCCTGTCTTTGTGCTTTAAGCGAACTGGCTGCTGGCTTCATACCTTAACTCATCTAAAGTTTCCTGACAACAAAAACATGCTAAATAATGACGTAGTCAGAGGAAATTGTTTTAAAGTGCTATGGCATCTTTAGCTTTCTTGCTTTTGGCCTGTTTTGCATTGTTCTGTTTATTTTCGCATTCAAGTTTGTCTTAGTTTTATTCATGAAGGCATGATATTCTTTTGCAGATTGTTTCAACTTTATGCTGTTTTTCTCATGCCTGATTTGGTGCTGTGTACCTTTCTTTGGGGGAATCTTTTTTGTATGGATTTTGTTATCTTTCAGGATTTTGGGGGGTTGTAGAGCAGTTTGATTTGTCTTTGGTTTGACTTTGTCACCAATGGGCTTTATTTTAACAGTGGTCTTTTTTGATTGTTCCTTGGATTTCTGTGTCAAAGTGTTCTTCTTCATTTGATCATTAGCTGCCTGTTTGGTTAGCACTTTGTTTTTCCTCCATGGTTTCAGCTTGTTTTCCTTCCTTGCTTTCTTATCAGATTTCCATTTCGGCTTTACAGCAGCGCTCATTGTCTTCGTCCCGCTGGCTGCAGATGTTGTAGGTTTGACCTGGCTGCTCGTCACCGGTGGTTTGGTGGTGAGTTTCAATTTTCTTGGTGGTGGTCTCGTAGGTTTTTCATTTGTGTCCAGCACAGTCACTGAAATGGCACAGATGTTAGTAAGTACCCATTTTTAAAGTTTTACTTGTATAACTCTGCAGCCACATGTGTTGCATTTTATAAGAGTGGATTGAATATTTGGCTCCAAAAACAGCCTAAATGTTTGAAATGCTTTCCTCTTTTGTCCTTTTCTTTTTAAAGTAGGTTTGATGTAAAATGGGAGACTGCTTTTTATAGTTTTATATATGACCTCAATGTGTTGCACAATTTGGCAGTATATACATGAAATGGGCAGGGGGGAAAAGCAGGTTCTGCTCAGGACAAGCATACTAAAGAGATGAACAGAGAACAGTCAATGTAGCAATTTCTTAACCTAACCTGTTATATCAACTTAATTGACTTGATAATATTTTATCTATATGTTGTTCATATTTAGTGCATCTTAAATGAACTAAAACTATTTTACACTAAAAATGTAAAACACCATGCACATACTTTTGCTTAACGTACAATTTCAGAGGCTCCACTTTGTCAGACAAAATGTTCCCTTTCAAATTGCTTCTTCAACAAGTCTGGTATACGCACAGCATAAACATGAGACATGATGTTATAAGAAGAAGTTATTAAAATACAAAGTTATACTTACATTCTCTGGGCACAAAAGGAATCTTTTTCCCCCTCACTTTGACAGGCAGTGGCTTCTGCTTACATTTCCCCGGAGGAGCTCTCCTGCAAAAGTTAGAGGGGAACAAGTTTATTAAGGTTAAATTGGGTATTGTTATGTTTTAAAAAAGCACTTTATGAGTTTCAGGACAAAGTCTCATGTTGTAGAGCTTTTTAACATGCATTTTTAACATGCCTTGAAAGTCTTTGAAAGTTGAGAACAATACAAAAAGGCCTGAAAAGTATTTGTTTATTTCAAATAATATCCAGCCCGAAAATAATCATTACACCTTCTGAAAACTCAATAGATGCAATAGATATTTGTGATGAGACAACAATACTTTTTATTCAAATTCTGTGTGCTGAGTCTGTTGCCTGTCCAAGCTGTTAAGATTGTTCATAGTCTTTTAACAGGATTTTAATGAGGAAGTAATGTACTGTTAATAGCAACGGCGCTCTTAGTGACCAGTTAGGTGAGCTCCACTGATAAAAGCTACTGATTCAGTCAGTTCACTTTTGTTGATAAAGATTTGTTTCGTACATGTGCTAAACACCTCTAGTGGAAGAGCTGTTGCTGCCCCATGTACAGCCTTTACGCTGGTGTTCTCATATCAAGTTTGGCTGCAGGGATTTATTCTAATATTCTCCAATTTCTTCTATGATTTAGGAGTACGACAACTTGAGAAATGTGTTTTTTAATCATTGCTCCAAGCAGGCATGTTTGTCCAACACAGGTGCACATTTGGATAGAAAAAGGGATCACCATTCTTAAATATCTCTATCAGATGTATTGCACATTGACTCATATAGTATTTAGGTAGAAAATGACTTGTGTTGATAATTGTTTTCAATACTTTTCCATCAGTTACATTACAATGTGGTATCCTGAAAGTAAGTACAGTACTTCAATATGAATGCACTTGAATTAGCAGTCATGATGCCATGAAATCAGAGCCTAACAGAAAATTCCAACATATATTTATCAACATGCAAGATAGATATGAATGTTGTTTTCCTAGTTTTTCAAAGGTAATTTAATTCTACAATAATTATTAAAGCATGTAAGCTGTGTCTGATACTGCACCTGGAGGGGTCCATGAATTTGAAAACAGTTCCAAAAGGAGACATGGCACTGGGGTACGTAGTGGCCAAAAAGTATAGTTCCCCTAAAAGAACAGAAACAGCTCATAACTACTGTTAAATTGGTGCATAACTAAACGCTGTGAGAGGCTGAATGAATGTTACCTGCTTCATCTTCAGCAAAGGAGATGATAAACTTGTGGTGATGATTGATAAGTCCAGGAAAAGAGCACGTCTTTGTGTCACCCATACACACATTCCTCTCCTTCCAGTTTCCTGTTGTCTTATCTTCCTCTAACGCCATGATTCGACTGCAAGATTGACAGGAATCAGGTATATAACAAAACAATATGGGTTTACTAATATACTTAAGGCAGAAATTAATAGTTCATCTCTCAACTTTATTCTAGTGAGGATGATGGAAAAACCACTGAAAAAAACAAGTATAACCTTTGCCAAGGAGGAAACTCTATCGCTTAAAATTTTAAAGGAATAGTTCGACATTTTAGGAAATATGCTTATTCACTTTCTTGTTGAGATTTACCACTGTTCGTTCTTTATGCTATGAAGTGAGCTGAGCTTTGCGTAAAGACTGGAAGCAGAAGTAAACAGCTACTGTTTATCTCATTTGCTTTTAAAACAGAAAAATGTGAAGTGTAAAAAACAATAAGTTATGATTTTAAGGGGGGTTAAAACTGTTTCTTGGTGGAGACTGCCGGAAGGCACTTCTCCCAGTTGACAAATAAAAACCCCTGTAAAACGGTGAATTGTTGTTTTTGTATATATATTAAATAAAAAGATACATGTTAATTAGTGAGCTTCAGCTTTTTTACTTCTGAATAGAGCCAGGCTAGCTATTCCCCCCTGTTTCTTTATGGTAAGCTAAGCAGTTAGCAAGTAGTTAACCTGATGGCCACAACTTCATATTCAGTATACAGAAATAAGAAAGGTATCGACCTTCTCATCTCTCAACTGTCAACACAAAAACAAATAAGACAATTTCCCCATACCTCGACCTATTCCTTTAAATTAAGTAAAACTTGCCTGATACATCAGGATGATCCTGATCATTAGTTCACATTTTGTCAAACTGTGGCAATAAGAGACTAGACTGGAATTAATTTTAACCTTCTTGCAGAACTCCACAGGTCTACTTTAACTCATGGACAAGTCAGATGAAAGTGAAAGGAGGTACAGCAATGTTCTGGTCGATACACTTAGATTGTCAAACTAAACTATGCCAGAGTCCTAAATGATTCTCAGGTCATCAGTCTCAAGTCGAGGCATGAGTGCAAGCATAAAACACCCATGTCAAACCTCAAATATAAATGTATGAAAAGTTAAGAAATCAAATTTGAGACCAAAAATTTGTATCGGTTAAATATCAGTGGATCGATATTGAAGTCAAACATTATCATATCAGCCCGTAGACTCAAGTGATGTGGCTTGAATTTAGTAAAAAAATGCACACCAGCTGAGCAAACAAGCTAAGAAGATCTAGTCTGTTTTAAATTACTCCTGAAAATCTGACAGAAAAAGATTTTATTTCACCCAACGGTTGGAGGAAACTATTCGGCTCACATTGACACAATCTTACCCACTCATAAAGTCTCCAAAAAAGTACAGGCCGTTCAGATTGGGTGATTCACATCCTCTGTACACATATCCCCCTGTCACAGACTTCCCAACATGATGGCTGTATGCAAATATAGGGAGGATGTCATCTGTTGTGGCAGAGAAAGATGCACTGAATTTGACAAAAATCTGAAGCATCAAAATTAAATAAAAAACAGCACATAATGACGGAAATAACAGGTGGTGACAGAAAATAGTTATTTTTTACAATTAGAAAAGTTTAACATGAACAAAACTACTTACTCAAGGAGGAGTTGTGGCACAGCTTCACATCATAGCACTCAAAGCCCTCTTTGGCTCTCCATCCATAGTTTCCTCCCTTTACAATAATGTCAATTTCCTCATAGCGGTTTTGACCCACATCTCCACAGAATATCCTGCCCCTGCCATAGCGACTGACCAGGTCTCCACGATCCACAGAGCACCGCCACATGTTTCTGACGCCATATGCATACACCTCCGGCCGGGCATCTGGGTCACCAAGGAATGGGTTATCAGGGGGGAACCTGTAGTGCTTCCCACTGGAGTCACTTCCATCTACATCAATGCGGAGTACTTTTCCCAACAGAGCACTCCTGGGTAGTAAAAAATGGGGTTTAGCAATAGTTGAGAGGCCCTCTACTGCAGTTATTACCAACCAGGTAAAAAAAATTATAAATGTCAAATCATTATTTCTTTCAAGTTGCTTTTTGTTTTGACCAGTTAATTGTGGTTTTAAACTGTTCTTTATGTTGAGAACATGACAAACACTTGCCAAACAGTGAATCACATAACAAATCTTAGGTAGAACATTAAAAACAATTATGATAAAATCTTTTTTCAACAAATATGCATAAGTAAAACTAAGTAAAATCATTTTTCATTCTCTTTTCTATCATCATTGTTTTTTAGGCCAGCACTATCTAAATACTGACAATTAAACTTTATGATGAAAACACTAACAGTAGAGACTTGTATATGATTTATATTTATAAATGACATCTAGTTTAATGATGAAGAGGCACATGAGTTTATCTGATAGTGCTTCCGACAAAAAAGGTTAGGAACCACCGCTTTCTGCTTCGTTCCTCCTCACTCTTCCTCACACTTGAAGAAACCTGAAGCATCTTACTTGTTTTGTGAGTTGCCATACTTCCCAAATGGATCCCCAGCCTTTCCACCATCTCCAGTGAAGATGTACAAATATCCATCGAGACCAAACAGCAGCTGGCCTCCATTGTGGTTTGCAGCCGGCTCCTCGATCTCTAGAATGACCCTGAATGCAAAAAGAATGCAGATCAGTAAAGGCACATCCACATTCAGGTGGTTTTTCAGACATAAATATCTGGCTGTCATTTTTCACTCAGCCTTTACTTCTTTAGCTATGATGCTTTGGTGTTCATTCCATGTAGCAATTATTTTTCTAACAGGAAAATTTGTAATAACAGAGCAGGCCTCAGGTGTTACAGTCGGTTCACCCAAAGTGCAGAAACTGATTTGTTTCTCCTACCTCTAGCCATATCTGCAAATGCTGAGCTAAGGTTTAGAGATTTATCCCACCAAAACAATGGAGGTGAATGTTTGTATTGATTAAACAAAAGAGATATAAGGTGTTCATTTGTGAACTTTAGAGGTGTTGGTAGAAAGATTGTTACTTTTGGAGAGAATGAGGCTAGCTGTTTCCCCTGCTTCCAGTCCTTATGCTAAGCTAGGCTAACGGACTACTGGCAGTAGCTACATGTTTACCGCGTAGACATGAGAGTGGTATTTAGCTTCTTGAGAAATGTTCAGGTGCTATACCACATTTTGGTATTTCAGGGGACTATAACAAAGTCAGTGACTGTGTCTTAAATTCATAACATCTTAATGTGGTTGTAGCTACATTTTATCTGTGCTTTCTTTTTTTTTCATTGAGTTATTTTAATTGCTGCACATTGCTACATTGAGTGTAGATAACTCAGCCTGTAGCATAGGCAACATAGGGTGTAAAATATCAGGGTGGCGCCGCAAGAGAAAGTTTTCAACTGGATCAACACTACCAGCTCATCCGTCACCAGCATATGCTACAATAGTAGCTAGTCAAGTGGACCCACCTCGCTCTGAGTCGCAGCCAGTGTTTGAAAGAATGGTAAAGTAGAGTTTTGCAAAAATCAGGGACAAACTTGCTCTGTTTGGGACTGTGAGCTGCACTTTATAGGAGGTGCTGAAGTTAACATTTGTGTGAGATTTATGAATTAAGTGTTTTCTGTCAGTTTTGGTTTCCATCTTCTTTTCTGTGTCAGACGGTCTGAAATAGATACTACCATATCAGCAGAGCAATAACACAGGCTAATGCACAGTAAAGAGTAAAGAGCAGGTAGTAAAAATCTAAATCTAAAATCTCGCATAGGGCTCCAACATTGTCAGCGCCGGCCCTGCTCTTACCTGAAAAAAAGTTTAATTTAGCTGAGGGCCCCAGAAAAGTTTGGGCCAACTGTGAAGTGACTTACTGCATTAAGCTCAGAACATGTTTATGCACGCTTTGGTGCAGATACACCTGAGGGGGTATTTGACAGTATAGCCCTATATATTTCTTTCAAAGGGTAATTATAAGTGCAGACCTACACATCAACCAAACTTTGATGCTATAAAAAGAACAAAAATAATAAATTTCCTGTTTGCATACCTCTCTGAGTCAGGATCAGCCATGTTCATATCGTAGGCAGACACCTTCATCTCACTGACTCTGACTTTCTCCAGCTTACTGTTGACCTGGATAGAGTAGTAGATGAAGAAGCGTCCGTTGTCACGGTACTTGGGATGGAAGGCCATGCCCAGGAAGCCCCTTTCATCCCCCAGCCAGGGCGTGGTCATTACTTCCCCACTCATGTCCAAGAAGGGGCTCTCCAGCCGGCTGCCGTCACGCAGGTAAACCCACACGAAGCCCACCTGCTCTGCGATGAACATGCGATGTGTGTCATCGCCACTGTGTAGCATCAACACGGGATTCCTGAGGTTGTTCGCTACCTCTGTCAAGCACACCTGGAGACACCCTCTGGGGTCCTCCACCACCGCTCCCAGGTTGCTGTTGAGGTCGGGGCTTTTCAAAACATTGGGATAGCAGTAGTCCCGGTCAGATAAGTCTACTATGCTGCAGAACGTGGTAACATCTCGCTCAGCAGTGTCCCGCAGCAGCTGGTTCTCAGTTAGATATTTAACCACATGATGACATTTTCCAAGAAACTCAGAGCAGTAGCCAAAGCAAAGGCCAGGTAGTTCTCTGACAGGTGTGTACGGGTCCTCAGCATCATAGAGGTGGGCAGCATATGGAGAGCATTCCTAGATGGGGAAAACACGAGACACTACAGTGTACTAATTATCTAATTATTACTTATTATAAGACATTTCAGGGCACTGGTAAGACAGGAGTTTAACGTTAAGGGGGCACTTTGGCTGAGCAGAAGGGCTTGGTCAGCCCAATTCTGACATTAGATCAAAGTTGAAGCGAGGATGGTTTTCAAAAAAGGGCTTGTTTACCTTCCAGACCTCAATAGTGGTTACTAGAAGTGCTTGTTAATGGGAATTTAAGATTATTCCTTTTTCTGAATCATTATAAAGACTCTGGATTGGAGCCCTTTTTAGATTTGACCTAGAGAATCACATGTCTCATAAATTGAGTTCTCAATTTCTTTTACAAGTATAAGTCTTATAAGCTTAATGATTGTTTTAATATAGGGGAGACCGGGTATGGTTGTAACACTTTTTGCTTCAGCAACTATAACTCACTGAATTTTGTAGCTAGAGTTCTCAAATTTTTAAACAAAGTACTCACATTTCTCACAAATGGCACCAATTAAATCCTTTACAATAATATCACAGACCTCGTGACTTGATGTCAAATGCGTTTTGTTCCCTTGTTACAACCTGCCCCAATAGCGGGGTAGGTTGTAACATATGCTGGGGTAAGTTGTAACAGTCACACAAAAGAATCAAAAATAGATGCCACACTACATGATAATCTTCCAAAACAGGTAGTGATATCAAAGAACAATGTTTCACTTTTGCTGTAACAGACTTTGTCTGATGACTCACGTGCATGTACAGTATGTGTATGTAAATTTATATATAGAATAAACCTACTTAAAAGTATACATAATAAATACTACTAAAATGTAATTAATTAAAGAACATCTCTGTACATCCTTAGGTCTAACTAAAAAGAGGTGTGTGTGCGTGTGTGTGTGTCAATATGTGTATATTCTTATTCAGTCAGTGCTTGAAGTGGGCCGGTATTCACCGGTACGTATACCAGCACTTCTATATTTTACTCTTTGGCGTACCGGGACTTTTTCTTGCACACAGGCACTTCTCACAAGCTGCCCGTACACTTTTCTACCCTCTCCTCCAGCGGAGACTGAGTACGGAAAAGGTCGAGTGATGATACATACGCCAACATGTGTACAGCATGTGAATGGGGAGTACTGGTCACAGTTCTGACAATTTAATGCTGGTAACCCTGGAGCGCGGGTTTGGTGGGCCCAGACTGCATAGGGCAATCTGGAAAAAAATAAAATCAAGAAAGTACCTAGTTTTATGTATCATGGATGGTTGTAACACTTTTTAAGGAAGTGTTACAACCCACGCCACCCCTGTCAGCCAGTGTTTAGCTAACTGTATTACCATAGTGTCTTGAAATTAGAAAGGAAAAAATGCATCACATGTTGCCTGAAAAACACTATACTATATACTATATACTATATATTCTGAATGTACCTCTTTCCAGACTTGATAACCACCATGCCTGATTGGGGAGGAAGTAGGTAAATACTGAAATTATCACCTCACTCCTATCTTATCTCTATTTGGTGGAATTGGTGTTGTTACAACTCTCCCCATGTTACAACCATACCTGGTCTCCCCTAAATAAAACTGAAAGTGATTCAAAAGTTGAGAGATGTAGACTGAGCATGTTAAATTGTAATCACAGGTTTCCTGTAGGGCTATCTAGATTGGACAATGTTCTGCAGAGGCAGAGCATGAACAATATTTTATTCTGTGAAATAACTTTTATACCAATTCATAGCACTCAGTCCAACCTTTAGAGAAGAAAATATATTTACCTGGCACATGATTTCCTTCAGTGTATCTGCGCAGAGCTCATAACCTGCCACTTCCAGCTGGTCAATAATGTCCCAGTATCTCTCCGCGATCATGTTGTCCGTCCTCTGGTCACAGCACCCAAACTGCTCGTACTGCGTGCAAAACTCCAGGTGCCACGAAGGTATGAAAGGTGGCTCGAAGTCCAGACACTGAGGGTGAGCTGATGCTGGCTGGATTGGGACGAGCAACATCACTAATGTGATTAGGACAAAGTCAAGAAGGCTCGGGGTGCTTCTGGATGAGATCGGACCTACCACTGCGCGTAAAACCGTGCAACTGGCTCCGCTTGGATGAAGCGCAGCAGCCCGCGTACTTGTCATTTTTGCCGTCGGCACCAGAAAGGGTTCAGCTCACTCTCATTTATGTATGAGCCAGCGTTTACGTGTGCGCGCGTACACGTGAATGTCTGTGTAATCATACGTGCATCCCAGCAGTCAGCCCCTGCCTCATTTGCCCTCAGTGTCTCGCCACCTGCTCAAGCCAGAAATGCACCATGTCGCCCGTTTTGTCTCCATAATTAGTAGCAGTTAAAACAAAACACATTTGTAATGGCGGTCAAGTTAATTGGATTTAGACCTATACTTTATTCTCCGCAACGCACAGTGGTTTTCTACACCGCAGCGAAGTTAGCAGAAGAATATGCGCGCGCGCGCGCACACACACACACACACACAACCGGGCACAGTGTCGAGGCATGCAAACACCAACATGGTAGGCCGACCACAACACAAACTGTAATTTTGGCTCACATTCAAGTAAAAGCGCCTCCAGGCAGTGTGCTGTTTGTGCAACAATCCTATAGATCTACTGTCCCGGCATGTCAAAATTTGAATATACAGTCAAGTCTGTCATCACGTTCTAGGGGTGCCAAGGGAAATAACATCTTCACCAAACCCCTGTACTTAATAGCATACACACATGTAATCAAGACCAACAAAAGTAACAACATAAAGCACTATGCCTACTTTGTTTGGGTTTTGATGGGAATTTGAATATCATGCATATAGGCTACATTAGCCAGGAAATGTTAGGAACTGTTAAAGTTGTAAGTATAAAAGTTTTATCAACAATTTTACTTTTCTTAAAGGCTCCCCCCCTTGAAACTTAGAATTACAGACACTTTGTAGTTCAACACAGCAGTAAAATAGGTAGAAGCTGAAATATTGGCTTTATAAATGTGGTAATTGCCCAGTAGACACTATAACTTGTATGTAATGTATGTGAAACTTTATGATGGCCTCACCTGCAGCCCGCTAATTGAAATGTCTGTAACTTTCCTTCACTCACAAGCTTTTTCTCTATTGTTTACAATTTATAGTTATTTTTGTCTTCAGATGGTTTACTTTGGCCTGATGCACGTCACATTCACAATGCAAATAGGATTGTTGGCAGTACATTCTAATTGTATTGAACACATTTAATAAGTTATTGGTACCAATCTACAGAACATCAGTGATATCAGAGAAGTGAAATGCCAGTGCAGATAAAAAAAAACAATAGGCTACCCAGCCTGTTCACTACCTTTCCATTCTTACTATAACTAACGTTTTTATTTGCACATTAACTTATATTACTCACATACATATCTGTATAGCGTCCTTGTAAATATAATTTAGTTTTGTCTGTGAAGATTCTCAGTCATCCAGGTCATAGTTATCAAACGAAGGTTAAAGTCAAGGGCAACTGGACTTGGTTGAAGATACTGGAAGACGTTTCATCCCTCATCCTAGGGACTTCTTCAGTTCTGACTGAACACACTAAGATAGATACTGGTAAACCCCAAGGACCGCACACCCAAACACAAGAAAAGCTATCTAGTGTATGTGGCCCAATGCAGTGAGGAATGCACAGACCTGTATATTGGGGAGACTAAACAACCACTTCACAAACGCATTGCTCAACAAAGAAGGGCCAACTCCTCAGGTCAAGACTCTGTAGTTTACTTACATCTGAAGGACAGAGGACACTCGTTTGAAGACCACCAGGTGCACATTTTAGACAGAGAAGATGGATGGTTTGAAAGAGGTGTCAAGGAAACCATCTACACCCAGGTTGAGAAGCCATCGCTGAACCACTTATCCTCCACTTACAATGCTGTCCTTTCATCACTTCCCAGGAAACTCAACAAACATAACCTATTGGCCTCAGGTGAAGATACCAAAGATGGTCGTTCAGTCTTGGCCTCAGGTAGTCCAAACGATCATAACGACTGTCGTTAAAACAGCCAGGAACACCAACGAACCAGCAGTATCAACGATCCTGGCAATCGACCCCACTGAGGTTAAATTGCTGAGTTTCCCTACCAGTCGGTCAGAACTGAAGAAGTCCCTTGGATGAGGGACGAAACGTCTTCTAGTATCTTCAACCAAGTCCAGCTGCCCTTGACTTCAACCTTCGTTGGATAATTTAGTTTTCCATTTTCTTCCTTCCAAAAATGGTACTATTAGCCTACAACAATAAATATAAATAAATATAGCAGTATTTTCTGTGTGTTGTGGCTTATGTTTGATTTTTTTTTTTTATTGCTAAGCCCTGCGACCTATTACCACCTGACTATTGGTGCTGTGCAAGGAAAAAAATCTGGTTTAATAAAGAATTGAATATTTGTTTTTAGATGTCTGTGTGTAGCATGAAGGAGGCTATAACTGCATTTCATTGTGCAATAGGCACTACTGTATACTGAACCTTTTTACAAATCCCCAGTGGCTCCTCATGCCTGCCAGTTCATTCCCTCACAGCCTTGTGAGAATCAACACGAAAACTAAGTTCACCAATATGTACCAAGTTCATTTTCTCCGTCATTTTTAGTTGTAGCCTAAGGTGTTAAACAAAATAACTTGTATTTATCCAGCAGATGGCAGCAACCGAACTGTTAATGGACCTCAAAGTGGACAAGGAAGCGGAACTTCGTCATTTCTTTTCATTTTGCGTTTGTTTTGGTGAGTAGGAAAAGTATCAAGCTAATTAGAATAAAAACATGACACTTCCGTCCGGATACTTCAGCTTAAAATATTTATTAAAGGAAACATGATTTGCTAGTACGTAATTTAATTCGTAGAACCGATTAAATATAAATAATATTGGGTTAAAAACGAATAAGTAACCATTCTGATTTGCTTTGTTTTTAATTATCGCGCACACGTAGTATTCTTATGGAAAACGAAGTTGCGCGTTTATTTTGAAGGCTAAATATGTACACTTCCGGTCGCATTTCAGCTAACTGTGTTTGGGCTGACGCGCGGCGATAATAAGGCGCTGCCAAGTCCGACAACAAAATACAATTTGACCAGCGTAACATATGCAGCTACAATCCACTACCATGACATATTAAAGGGGTGGAGGGAGACGCGGTTTCATGCTCGTTAGGTGACCGGAGCCAGTCAACTTTTCGCCGTAGAGCCGAGACGCTGCGCCCCACAGACCGCTGTGTGAACGCTGGAGAAGCTACAATGAGCTCGGAGCGCCAGAGCGACAGCGAGGACGCCGACGAGTCGCAGGACAGGCCCAACAGCGGCACCGTCTCCGACAAAGAGGAGGACACTGACATCGACGGCTCGGACGTGGAAGATGAAGTCGCTCCGGAGGGTCCTCCTTCGCGCGCGGGGAGCAGCGGGGACCGTCCCGAGCGCAGTGCGAGGTCTCCGGTATCCGAGGAGCGAGAGCCCGCCTGCCAACCGGCCGCCGCGCCGGAGACAGGGAGCGGCGGGGACTCAAGCATCGATAGCCGCAGGGGGAATAGCCTGTTTTCCTGGCTGCAGAGCAGGACAATAAGACGAGGGGTGTTTGTGGACCCGGCTAGGGATAACTTCAGGACAATGACCAGTTTATACTGCTCTATGAATCCGGCTGTGGAGTCTATCAACCTGAGCACGCAGACCCACGGAGCGGTCTTCAACCTGGAGTACTCCCCCGACGGGTAAGAACACTTTTACGGCCTTTCACCCGGACTCCATCTTCACTGGGTTCCCACTTGTCCTGGAAAATAATTGAAGTGTTAAACAATACACTTGAATGGTTTGAAAACGGTTGGGTAAATTTCCTGGAAAGTGCTTGAATCACATCATCAAATTTACCCTCATTATGTTTAATCTCCCTGGACTCTGACCATATAAGGCCCACTAACGTAACACGTGCAAAGGAAAGCCCACTGGTTGATATTTATGTTGAAACATACATAGTTTAAACTAGTCAGTATTTTCTTTAACTGTAAGCATTTAGTTAACAACATGACAGTTTGACAGCCAAAACGTTCTTGAATTTCTCTAAACAAAACTTGGAAGGTCTTCCAAAAGCTACTCACAGTAAGCTCAACTAGAGCGTACACCTAGGGTTTAAGCCTGGATGACAGACTGCAGATTTAGGAAGTAAATCCTGCAGCCAAACAAGGTCAAGCTGTGTCCAGTCTGGGTCAAGTTTGTTTGTGGCCTTATGTGACAGCAGAACAAGTCTTTCCTGCACAAAAAAAGTGTTTGGGGGATTGTTTTGTCCTTGGAAAGTCACTGGTCAGGGGGTTGTTTTATTAATTAATATTTTCATTTACCTCTGCATCTATGTTCTTGATCCATACAGTGTTGTAAATCTTAGAATGATGTCCAGGAATTGAAAAAGAAGAAACCTTTTCTCTGTTGTTTCACACTTCACTTTTTGGTCCTTCCCTGATAATTCTTACATTTGCAGCCAGGGGTTATATATTGCTCGGAGATGAATATCTAAAATGCAAAATGTTTTTGTTATTATTTATTTTCCCTTCTTTTTGTTGCATCACTGTTGATTGTAATGAGACAGAGTATTGCTACTTTCCCATTTATATTTCCACAACATATGTATAATTATCTGTTTGAGTATATCATGTGCTTTATATAATACATTCTATATTATGGAACTAAGTCAGACGTTAAGTTCTTGTGTGTTGTTGGTATTGTTGTTGTTTGTCTTTATGTGTAGAAAAACATACTGTTAAAAAAAACCTGTGTCTCTAATTTGTGTGTCTGCTCTGCTCAGGTCTGTGCTGACTGTGGCCTGTGAGCAGACTGAAGTCCTGCTGTTTGATCCCATCTCATCCAGACACATCAAAACCCTGACGGATGCCCATGAGGACTGTGTCAACAACATAAGGTGCATTTTTCTAATCTTAAAACATCCAGGGAGGGTTTACAAAGTGAGCGTGCAAAACCTGCATCCACACCAGGCAAGGGATGAAGGGAAGCTCAAAGCAGTGAAACATAAAAAGATTCAGGATGGCAACATGATCCTTTAAATCCTCTTTATTGTCCAAAGTGCATCAGATTGAGCTACTTGTCAGGATATGAAGTACAGAGGCCAATAAAAACGACTAAAGGGACCAAGCGGCTGCCTATATTCATGTCTGCAGAGAATATTAAGTTAGAAATCTCCCTGACTATCTGTGCCCTGCAGGTTTTTGGACAATCGTTTGTTTGCCACCTGCTCTGACGACACCACAATTGCATTATGGGATCTCCGTAAACTGAATTCAAAGGTTTGCTCGTTGCATGGCCACGCCAGCTGGGTGAAGAACATCGAGTATGACACCAACACTCGTCTCCTCGTCACGTCTGGCTTCGACGGCAACGTCATCACATGGGACACTAACAGGTTTGTGTGTTTAGATGATGTGAGCATCACAGTAAATATGAGGGACATTATGAATACTTAATGCTTTGGGGATTGTGTCTTTGTGTTCTCTGCACCTTTACTGAGATGATGAGTGATCGGACAAATGCTTTAAAATGTTCATTATGTTGCCTTTTATGATATCACCACCACTATATATAAACTCCGGTCTGTCACATAATGAGATTAAAACAAAGAAAAGATGCACATGCTCAAATTTAAATAAATTTTTTTCCCATTAAAATATTACACTAATGATTAATCCATTATCAATCAGCTAGTCAAGTTTTGTTTCTTCACTTCCAATATTTGTAAATGCAGAAAAATGATTGTTTTGTCTCTTGCATTTGTGTCACAATCCAGTCACTTTTACCTCCTGTTCTGGTGTTTACGTCATGCTGTAGAAGGAGCTTCACATAAAAGTCTAAACAATACATCCCTGACTTTTTAACAGTCCACTTTCTTTCTCCCCGCTATCAAATAAAACCTGCAACCTCATAACTTTGGGGTAAATGGGATTTTTGGCTGTGAAGAACTTCTAAAAGTTGCTGATTCTAAAGTTTCTGTAACTGTAGCCTGTCTGCCTCCCCGCCTCAAGCAAACCCTTTTAACCAGAATTACATCGAATTATTTAAGAGAACGCCATCAGGTTGCCTCTTTAAGCGTTCTGTAATTGTCCTTCGTCTGCAGGTTTACAGAGGACGGCTGCCCGCATAAAAAGTTCTTCCACACGCGCTACCTAATGAGGATGCGCCTGACACCCGACTGTTCCAAGATGCTCATCTCCACTTCCTCGGGGTACCTGCTCATCCTCCACGACCTGGACCTCACCCAGTCCCTCGAAGTGGGCAGCTACCGCATGCTGCGAGCCCGTCGGACTCCCCTCAGCTCAGGTCAGATCACAGTCTTCCTGAACACTTAAAATTACAATTATTTAAACTGAAAAAAATCCACTGTTTTTCACTGTTTTAATTCCTTTCTGTGACGCTTACATGTTTTGAACACTAATCAATTTGGTAGATTAGTCAGAATGAGCTGTAATTTTGATGGTT